CTGAAGACAGATTTATTTTTCTCATGGGCCCCCGCTCTGATGAACCCTGACTAAAATCTAGCAAGAATCCAATTTAGTTTATCTGAATTAAATCAAGTTTATATGAGGAAAAATAGAATGCACACAAACATGCCTCACACTCACTTTCTAAAAGATCACCAAGCAGGCCAGAGGTTCTAAGTCACTTACAAGTATGAAATAGTATCTACCACCTGGCTGTAACTGATACCCAGCCTTTGGGAAAGCTACTTGCCTCATCAGTGACCCATCCAGTGTTCCTCTCTCCCTTTCCAGGAAGTGGTTCATTATGAAATTCATTCCACCTGCATAAAACCTGAGGCTGAAGACTCTAACCAGGTGGAATGCAGAGGGAGTGGAGAGGTGAGATCCACTATCCCATCCCCAGGTCAGCGAGCAAGGCTGCTGCACTGCCCCTCCCAATAATAGTAGCTACTATTGCCTATGAGCTGCAGTACTAATCACAACCCATTCATCCCATTTGCACAGGGGTTTTGAGGGCCATTGGATTTCTGTAATGTGCACCCTGCAGCCCCTCCCTTGGCCTGGCCTAGCCCGGCCCAGCCATCCCACGTATGGCCTTCTGTGCTAGCCCAGACCCTTTTCATACCATGTATGGGTGCATAACAGTCCTGCACAAATGCTCTGCTTGCAGTATCCCCACATAGTGCCTTCTGCAGGGCTTAAATGTATTGAAGGACTTGTGCTGCCCCTCTGCACCATAGGTGAATTTCACCCACAGAGTTTTGTAAGGAAAGCAGGGGCTTTGTATCTTCCAAACCATTCACAGCCAACACTTGGCCTGCGTGAACAATGAGTCATTTACCATTGCATCCCTGCTCTCTTCAAAACTTGCATATAGAATTACTGACTACTGTTCTCCACAGAGAGCCAACCAATTTCTAGCAAGGATTATGTGGGCAGTTTCTTCAGAACCCCCAAACCTTGATGAGCTGTTTTCCCAAGAAACTGACACATAGTTTATTCATACAGAAAGTTCATAACAGTTGAGAAAGAGAACAGAAAATTGTTGGGTGTCCAGATACAGCCATCTGTTACACGGACCATGTGTGTTGCAGTGGGCATGCACAAGTAACTAAGTAGTATTGTGACAGCCGAAGTCCAAACTTATAATATTTTTTCCAAATATTTAACAGCTATCAAAGAATTTATAGACCATACCCTGCATCCTTTATCTGGTTAGCACTTTGAATTCAAACCACATACTAACATACTCAGAATAAGTACCAAATTAGGTAGCAACTACTTGATAAAGCTGGTACATGTTATATTTGAATTACCAGTGTTTAAACTGAGCTGTGAGGCTGATGAGTTGACAGACATTTTTAATTTTGCAGGTAGATAGAATCAGTCTTTTAAAATTGGCTTGTCTTTTATCTTAGAATTTAACAGAAGTTCTCTGAAGTTAATTTTCTCAGTGAACCTAAGATGCCTTGCTATGCCTTAATCTTGATACAATATTAAAATAAGTAGAAATGAAGTACATGATTTATGGTGGTATTTAAAGAAGATATTGAAGGCATGATGACAATTTAAGTGAGAGAACCAAGTGTGAAAAGACCATTTAACCTCTCCAATTCACTGTATTTCTTTAAAGTCTGATCCAGCATCCATTGAAATCAATGGAAAGACTGACATTGACTTCAATTAACACTGGATCAGGACTTTGCTATATATAATATCACAAGAAAACTTTAACCAACCACAGCAAGTGTCCTTAGCTGAGAGGGAGCATCATCCAACAGATAGAGCACTGAACTGGGAGTCAGGAGACCTGGGTTCTATTCCTTGCTTTGCAACGGACAGGCTGCTTGGGCAATTCACTTCAACTCTCTGTGGGTGTTTCCTTCCTATCCTTTGTCTGTCTTGTCTATTTAGATTGTAAGGGGCAGGGACTGTCTCACTATATGTTTGTGCAGTACCTAGCACCAGGGGATCCCTATCTTGGTAGGGGCCTTTAAGTGCTACTGTATTACAAATAATAACAGTGTTAAAATATATATACAAAGTAAAGTCATAACTCAAAACAAGTTGGTACATATTATCAACTCTGAACAATGAAATAGATCCCCTTTTGGGGAATCATAGTTGAACTGTTGGGCCAAAAAAGTGACCTATCCGGAAATGATTGTAAATGGAGTCAGCAAAAAGTGTGCGCAACAGTCCACCTATTTAAAAGAGAGTCATCTGCTCCACAGATAAGAAACACTGTTGCTGATTCAGAATGTAGCGGACTTCCTTCTGAGTCACTATGGAAACAATTCTCCATTTAGAGGGCTTTGAGGTGTCACCATCCTGATGATATGTGCACCAAGATCTTGAGCACTGGCAAAAATGCAAGAGTACAGCTGTGAAACCCTTGTTGTCCTGGCTACATTCCATCTTCAATAGCAACACTACACTGCATTTCTTCATCTTCTGGTCTAAAATGGGGTGTCGTGTTGCTGTGCGCTGTTAAAACGTTGCCATTTCACACCCCAGAGGTGGCCATATTTTAATTAGGGGTGAAGTGGTTCGTCTGTATATAATTTGTATGTCTGTATATGAGACACTTTGGACTGTGAGGATGTACGTGACTAGTGGAGTTGCACATCTCTCCCAGAAACACTGCAGGTACAATTCTATTGGAAAGCTGACTGGGCTTGTTGTTTTCTCTTGATGACATGCCATTCGGGCAGCGTTAATGCTGTTGGATGTGATTTCATGCTCCAGAGAATGCCTGCCTTGGGCAGAGAGTGCAGCTAAATTAATGTTTGGAAATTCTGTTTAATTTCATTAAAGCTGTTAGTTTTAGTGGATCTTTGTATTATTCATAAAGGATCTGTTCTAAAACCCATAAAATTAGTGAGAGCTTTTCCATTGACTTCCATGGGTTTTGGAATCAGGCCTTATGTCAAGGTTGATCTCTAGGGGATTTTATGTGGTTGAAGTGATATGGCAAGTACAGTTTTTACTACTACTTCTTATCTGAAATTCCCCTTTTTGATCATTCAAATAGTCGTACTAAATCAGTCCCAAGCTCCATCTAATTCCATGTCCCATTTCTGATAGTGGCCAAAACCAGATGCTTCAGAGGAAGGTGAAAGAAACCCACGGTAGGCAGATACAATCTGCCCCTTCGTCATATCCACTGGTCTGGTGCCATGGAAAATATTTTCCACAGGTTTGTTTTTGATGTTTTCCAGCTTTAGGAGGTCAATTCATGTTGTTGAATCTCCGAGGGGTAGCCATGTTAGTCTGGATCTGTAAAAAGCGACAGAGCTTGTGGCACCTTATAGACTAAGGACTCTTTGTCGTTGTTGAATCTGTAATTCTATATCCTTTCCACAGGTCTGTGTGTCCATAAAACATTTGCTGAAAAGTTCATAAGGCCCTGATCTGAGAGCCAGGCTTCTAGCCTCCCAAACAGAGTGAGCAAAACAAAGTCTATACCTTAGTCCAGCTAGTCACCAGGCACCTGAGACAGACCTTCACTAATGACTACTCCATCCCTAACTAATCTGCTCTCTCTCCTCTGCATGTTCCTCCTTTCTGATTATATAGGCCAACCCCAGGCCCGAGCAGGGAGCCTCCTTAATTACACACAGTCTGTTTTGATTGTGAGCTCCTAGCTGTGCCTTAAAGGGGTAGTACACTCCTTCACAGTGAGATTATGGCCCTCTGAATGGTTGCCTTAGAATCCTACCACCCAAGAACATGGATGCTTTCCTGGTCATTCTTTTTGAAGTGTAATTTTGTTTGAGAGTGCAGGTAGTTGTTGAATTGTGATTTCCTAAGAAGTGATGGTTCCAATACCAAGAATTGGGAGAGAGGAATATGTGATGTCACTTTCATTGTAGCAAGAGAGTGATCAGAACCATTCCATTTATCATACTGAATATTTCCAATATTGTTCTGAAGTTCTAAAAGGAATTATGAAGTTAATCAATGTGAGAGAAGGCCTCTGATACAGCACTTTCTTAAGCTAATAAGGACCTGGATCAATTCTGGTATCCCAAGACTACGTCATTTCTTATTTTTACTTCCCTAAATTCAGGTTGGCTTTGGCAAAGGAATTCTTAAAAAGTTGTCCATGTGTTCATTAAACATTCACTGAGTTATAGGACTTTTCTGATCATATGATGATATGCCACAGCCAAACACCATTTACAGAAGTACTTTTCCTCTAAATCATTTGAACTAGTTGTTCCATCAGCTGCAATGTTGTCAACCAGCACATTAATGTATTTTTCTCTGTGTATCACAGAAAAAAAAATTAGATTAGGCAATCATCTTATTTTATTCTTTACCATTCCAAAGATATTCAGTTCTTGTAAATACAACAATAATTTGATGAACAGAGACGTTTGCACTGATTGAGTGATTATAATACAATCTCTAAGTCAACCTTTTATTCCATGCATTACCATGTATAAAGTAACACATAATACTGGTTTGACAGCAAACATTTTTAAATCTATTAACATGATTTGAAGAATCCTACTACTTGCAATTGTATCTGATTAATCTCTGAGTCAAATCCTACAATCCTTAGCTAAAATTTGAAACTCCAACTAATTCAATACTGACTCTCATGGACATTTTGACTTGCAATTACTGCAAGATTTGGCCTTATCTGAATTAAACTAATATATTGACTTTCTCTGTGTAATTTTAACGATTTGATGATCTAGCCTGGGTCTAAAGTGTAAATAAAATCTCTTTGGGATCTATATCTTCCTGAATGCATTTGTGTAATATTTCTTTATATGATCATGAAAATTAGGCATCATCATAGAGGGTGGTTGCATCTTTTGGAGCTCTTTAGTTAAAATTAATCAGTTTATTACAAACATAAGTATTTGTATAGAAAGATTATGACATCTATTTCTTTCTCCTTCACCCTTCTCCCTCCACCCCCTACTGACAATCAGAGTGAAATAAATGTTTCGTTTCTTAGTAGTGTGTTTATCGTCATATACTTATGCTAGGGTCTCAAAAATATCATCTGGATACAAAAGAAACCCTGTAAATATGCTGTCATCTTCAGCACTGACATAGATCCCATTCCAATCCCGTCCCACCTCCAACCAAACCTGATCCCCTGCATTTAATTTCAAAATGATCAGGAAAGACGCCTGGTCTATCTCTTGACCATAAAGTGTTTCACGGGTTTTGACTATCTTCTTGTTTTGTGCCACAATGCTGATTCGAGCAGGCCGCCCTCTGATCGTCATGTGATAAGCAAAGACATACGCTCCAGGAATGCTGCAATTGAACTTGCCTGTAGAAGGATTATAATCTTCCTGGTCATTGTACAAAATCTTGTCAAATTTAATAGGGATATTTGGTGGAGGGAAAGACTTTGACAAGCCGGCACTGAAAGCTGATCTTCGGACTTTTGAGTTATCACCCTTGGAGCCTTTGATACCTCTGGAGCCTTTCTTTCCACTAGCTCCTCGTGCCCCTTTACTACCAGGATTTCCCTTTGGCCCAAGAGGTCCCATCACACCAGCTGGTCCCAAGTCCCCTTTTTCACCCTTATTGCCTGGCTCACCCTTTTCTCCCTGTTGTCCATTCATCCCAGGAATACCCTCAACTCCAGTGTCTCCTTTGCTGCCTTTTTCCCCTTTTATTCCAGCTTCCCCTTTTTCCCCCCTCTCTCCTCTCTCCCCTGGTTCCCCACAATGCCCCTTTTCCCCCAGGTCTCCCTTTTCCCCTTTATCTCCATTTTCCCCATCTAGCCCCTGTAAGCCCAGCTCTCCCTTGTCCCCCTTCTCTCCTTTGGTCCCATTCTCACAAGTGTCCCCCTTCACTCCCTTCTGTCCCTTCATTCCAGGAAGGCCAGAGTTTCCTTTATCTCCTTTAACTCCAGCTTCACCTATAAAAAAAGATAGAAATAAAGAGTCACAAGAAAGAATAACAACCATGCAGCACTACTAGCCTTGGGCTGGTCACTGTGCTAGGTAGGGGCTAGCAGAAGCAGATGTAAATGCCAGGTGCTTGGGGCTAAAACGAAGACTGTATGTTCCATTCTCAATGTTTTCTTTCTGTTTTCCTCTGGAGTGGGGTGAGTGAGTGGAGAGAGTAATTTGTATGGTGAGTGAGGGGGGCAGTGGATTTGGGGGAGGGGAGTCATCGTGGGCTGAGTGGATTTGATGGGAACAAGTGGAACTGAGGCAAGAGGAGGAAGATGTTGAGAGGAGAGGTTAGAAAAGGGAAGAAGGAGGAGTAAGAAGCTAAGAAGGCTTGGGAAGGAGATTAGAAAACAAGAGAGAATAGGAATAAAAGATGAGGACAGAGAGAGAGGCTGGGAACGTGGAGAAGACCAAAGAGAATGCAACACTGGGTATGTGGGGAGGAAGCTGGCTTGATGGAAAAGAGAGAAGCGATGACATTAAAAACAGGGCCAAGGTATATGGAAAGAAAGAGAAAGTGGAATCAAAGAAGAAAAAAGGCAGAAATAGTAAGTCAGTTTTTTAAATGCATTTACCATAAAGTTGAGGGGCAACATACAATTGAAAACACTAAATCCACCATATTAAAAGCAATTGATAAAATACTTGTATTCTATACAGGGCAAGATTCTCCAGTGCCATCTATCTGCTGGTGTGGTCTGGCCTTAAAACCATCTTAACCAAAGGAAGATTGCCCCAGTGTGAGGGTCATCCTCTGGTGGCAAAGTGCCAGTGTAGCAACTCCTACACCACACACTCTCCTGCTGTCAGCGCAGCAGAGAAAAAAGGTTGTGGCTTCAAGAAAGCAGGTGGTCAGGACAACTTTACACTATGCTGATCCTTGGATTGCACCCCAAGACTCCTCTAATGCAGCCCAGGGATGACACGCCTGCAGAGAGCAGTTTTAAACCACATTTGCACACATATCCCTGTGCATTCTGTGCCATTAGGCTGCACCAGAGGATCTGATCTGTCTCTGATGAGGTTTTTCCCACTATGGCTGAAAATATCACTGCCAGGTGTGAATTTTATCTCCAGCTCATAAAGTTACTTTTCATTGAAGAATAACTTTTCTTGCCTTCAGAATGCAACAGATTGCAACAAATCCCATCTCCAATACATTTTCCAGGTGGGACGTACTCCCCTACAGAAACACACTCTCTCTCTCTCTCTCACACAAACACACACAGAGTCTCTCCCTTCCCCCCACCCCCGCCCCACTAGGACAGGCTAAAGTTTATAGTATCTGCACATTTAACAAAATGAAATTATTGAAACTGCACCATAGGTAGACAGGAAGGTAGACAGATAAACAACATAATTCAATATGTAGTCTGTGATCTAAATACTGAAGTCCACATTCAGTTCTTACTCAGGCACAGCTCCCACTGACTGTAGTGAGTTTTTCCTGAATGTGGACTGAATAAAAACTAAGTAGTGAAGTCCAGATTGGGGAAAAACAGATTAAATATTAGAAAACCAGATTAAAGAGGAAGATAGATCAATGTTCTTGAGTACTCTGGTGTAGCTTTACGTACCTTGTTCTCCAGGTTTACCTGGATACCCTGGAATTCCATTTGTTCCTTGGTCACCCTGTTCTCCTTTATCTCCTAAGACATTGTTACCATTAATATGCTGCTATGTATATTATTTGTAGCAAAACATTCTTTATGCAGCATGGGGCTTTCACCATTTGTGTGTGTGTGTGTGTGTGTGTGTGTGTGTGTGTGTCACTCTCTCTCCTGTAGTAAAAATGAACTTAAAAAATGACAGTCCTAAGAAGGTTCTTTGGGACCCCTTAACTGAAAACTCCAAAACACCAGCACCCATCAAACTACCCATCCTGTTGTACTTCCATAGTTATCTGGTTCATCTTAATGCCTAAGAAATAAGTAACCATATACAATCAGTAATGTTGGATAGGGAGGGCATTTATTGTCATTTAATGGCCCGATAGAAAAGCTGATAGACACTAGACTCAGTATTATCATTTTAGTTTCACAGCCCTAGAAAGCATTAGGCAAGAGGGGACATCGTAGCAGTGGACATCAGTTGAATCACACTCTGATGTCTTTTTTTTTTTTCCTGAAAAAATGTTCGAGTGTATTCAGTACTTATTGGCTTTAGCAAAGCATGATGCATGCAAATGCTGTGCAAGCAACCACTTATAGCTCTGCCAATACAATTCAGTCCTCATGCGCTATTCTAGTACACTAAACCCTTTGGACAGAAACAGGCAATTGAGCTGAATTGTGTCCAGTGTGTGGTAGTTTAGTGACATGCAAAGTGAGAACTCTGCGATGACCATCAAACTCATTTTCACTTGAGATCTGAACACAGGTTTCCAGGGCAAATGATTAATAGAACCAATAACCACACAGACCACCTCTTGATCAGAGGATGGCTTAGAAGAGGATGCACAACCTGACTGGGTACCTATGATTATTGCAAATATTCCGAATGGGACCATGCTTGACTTTTTTCTCACTTTTGTATTGCACACAACTCTCTAAGTTTGTTTCATCTACAGCAACCATCCCTGGGACAAGTGATTATTCAAGTGTAGGTGCTAAGTGTTTAGGGATACTGAAAATCACACAGGTGCAAACAGAGAAGCATCACTCTAAATAACAGTTAGTTTAGTGGACCAACTTTTTAAACATTTTTTTAAAAATGTTTTCTCCATGAGCAAGAAACTTCTAGGCCATACTTAGAGTGATACATGATAGTAGAATGACCACTGAGGGCCTGGTCCAAAGAATATTAAAGTGAATGGGAGTCTTTGCATGCAGTTACAGCTAATGAATTAAATTCTACTCTCTTGCTGGGTGCAGTCAATTTGGTCTGAGAGATTTAGCTTTTAAAAGCTGCTTCTGTGCCTGCCTGTTGCTTTCATGAAGATCTTTACTACACATGGGCCTGATTCAAAGCCCACTGAGGTAGAACTTCAATGAGCTTTGGATCAGGCTTTTGTGAATATCCATTTTCATTTTGTGCTGTTATAAGCTATTGGTTTACGGTATTACAGGCCATGGGAATTACAAGGTATCAGTTTGTACCAAGACATTTCAATTGCTTTAGAAAATAATTTCGCCTACAATTTTGCTTTATTGGACTGAAAAACATATGAGCAAAAAAAAAATCACATGTGCTTTTGAAATGAGCAGCTACTTTTCCTCACCCTTGTCTCCTTTGAAGCCCTTTGGACCTTGAAGTCCAGGAATTCCTGGTAGGCCCTGAGGGCCAGCATCTCCCAGCTCTCCTTTAGGACCTGGAAAATGAGCATTTGAAAATTCATTAGTCAATGGAACTCTATCTTCATAGTGACTGAAAAGGATGAACTTTATAAAGTGACCTATGAATGTTAGTTAGCTAATAAGCCACAAATGATGGGGGGTGCCACATACTGATGGGAGCTTTGTGGAAACAGAGAAGAACTGAGTATTTTTGGGGGTCATGGGAGTGCTACAAAAGAAGCAGAGCAGGGCTCAGGACTGAGTCATATTTCCTTCACAGATGAAAAACACTGTAATTGTTCAAAGCCAATTAGGGGGTTTAGCTATACAGCTGAAATTAATGGGAACTGTGTGGCTAAATGCTCTCGTCAGCTATAAAAATCCCCATTTATATTTCATGCTATGTCTCTTGACTGGTTCATGGACCTTCGTCTTTCACCTAGTGCATAAATCCCCATGCCATTTTTAAGACCTTGATTTTTGAGTTTGGAGGTCTCTTAGCTTGAAAAAGTTGAAAAATAGCTTTCAACTGCTATACAGCTATAGAAGCCCAAACGCATAGATTACATCCGAATTTGTGTGTCCAGTATTTAAATGCACCTGAAGACATCCTATATCTAATTAACTCTACCCTTTCTTTTTTTTTTTTAATCTGCAAATTCAAGTATGGTAATTGGGCAGATCCACACATTGTGAGAAACATCAGAAAGACAAGCAAGCAAGATACTCAGTGGTTTAATTTTACAATAAGCTTTAAAAACTTGGGCTAGCTCATGCACATCTGGCCCTGTTCATTGTCACAATACAAACAACTTGACATGAGCTCTTCTTCCGTCAGTCCTCAGGAGATGTATACATAGAACTCCCTCTATAGCTAATACAATGTTGTCCCTTATTAACAATAGGAGACTAGAGTCCCTTGAATATAGTATATTTAAAACGCTCTAGGCTTGATTCTACCACCCTTACTCAGATGAAAAGTATCTCTCTCCAAAAGTAGTGCCAATAAAATGAACATGAATACTTGCAGATTAAGGTCCTGCTCAAAGTAAAGGTATCAGAATCAGGCCCTATCTGGGTGTGTATTTTAATAATAAAAAGTAAGGTTACATAACATACAATATATTAGGTTACAAAATATATAGCTCTTATAAAATATTTATAGGGTATTTATAGAGACTCTGTTGAGCAATTTAATCATATTTAAAATGTGGAGTCTTTATTGTCGTTTGCATTTAACTTCCCTGTTTCCAATAAAGGGTCAGGGATTTTATTATTAATTATATAACCCTGTAGAAAAACACAAAACTACTTTCAGGTAGCATGAAGAGTCACAAAACCATGCTAAAGGGAATATGTAAAACAATCTGCAACTATTAGAAGACTGTAAACACAAAAGTGTAGGGAGAGGAAATATCTGTGGGGTTCCATGAGGATATGACAAGGACTAAATGGATCAACGTGAGCAAAGGGAAATTCAGACTGAATATCAGGAACATTTTCCTAGCTACTAAATCATATTTTCCTGTAGAGTAGTCTCCTAAGAGAGGTAGTAAAAGTCTCACTGCTTGGCAGACGTAAAATCAGACTGCAGACACCATGGAAGAAAATATTGCATTGGCTGGTGGAGGGATTGGGTAGACTATCAGGTTTTATCTCTTTTTAAATCTATGCTCTCAGAGTCTGGCAAACCAGGGAAATAAGGAAAATTAAAATTGGGGGGAAGGTTAAAGCTTTTGGGGGTGATCTGTCCGTCTCCAAATGGCCACTCTTTCTCTTTTCCAATCCCAGGTATAACTCCATTATAAAGCAATAAAGATGATGTAAGTACAACAGTCCTTAGTGCACTTTTTGTATAGTCTGTCTGGTATCGATTGTATGCTACCCTCAGTGCAAGGACATTGTTTTCTTCTGTGGGTTGCCTGGTGCCAGCTGCTCTATTAACACTCAGTTAAAAAAAAATAATGGAACATAATAATCATACCCTTCTCTCTGTAACAACACCATATATGAAATGTAATATTGCACAGTTTTCTGGGATTTCTAAAATACAAAGGGAGAGAGAGGCAGAGGAAGATGGAGTCTTGTCCAGGAGTTTGTGTGCAACAGTAACTCTGATTCTACTTAGTTTTGAGTGTAAACCTGAGACCTTGTAAGTCCTCTATATGCAGAACACTGATTTTAATTGGAGTTCCACATGTGAGGGGCTTACAGATTTGGGCCCTAAGTTAGCATTGTTTTAATGTAGCATTTAAGAATAATTAGATTTTTATCTGATATTATATGTAATACGAATCCATTATGGCCAATCCTCAGCTGGTGTAAATCACCATAGCATGATGTTCCGGCCTGCAAGAGAATTTATTCAAGAATTAATCAAACTGGAGAATCATTGCCACTTTCTTCTTAGTTCATATGCTACCGCTGACACTGCCTCCTGAGAAATGAATAATGATAATAATTGCTTTCCCCTACCTGGCAGTCCATGCTCTCCTGGTTCCCCTTTCTGACCTGACACAGGGGTACAGCAATCACAGCAATTAAAAAAGAAATCAGCTGTGTCAAGAGTAAAATTTTCAAAAGGAAACAGCGTGGTGGCCGTTCTGAAGGCCGGCTTCAGCGAGGATAACTCCACCGGCATTTCGCTTGTTTCCGATAGTTCTGTGAACGGACTTTCTTCAGTGGGTGGCACAATGGATGTGTCAAGGCCATCAGTGACCTCCATCTCTGGAGCCTTTATCTTAGTAAACTTTTCAGCCAGGGTAGCTTTCGCCTCTGTGCGTTCAGCAGCAGCAATAAGTATAATGAAGGTGGCTCTGTGCCAAGGTAAATGCCACATTTTTGTAGCTGTAAGAAAAGATTAATGCAATTATAAAGCATTGCAGCAGGTTTCTGGTATTAGCAATTTCCCTGTAAGGTTCACTTGTTTTGCATTCGTTATTGCTTTGCCTGCACTTCTCACTGTTAGCCTTTTCTTTTTAAATCCAAGAGAAGGAGCTTGACATATAAACAGCAAAGAGTAAAAGAGCAAAAGTAAAATTTTTATCAGTTAAGCAGGTTTCTTCTTAATTAAAAACAGCTCACAGCCCTGATCTTGTCAGTTGCTCTATGAGGAGAGGCCCTGGTATCTGTACAGAGCCCCACTGATTTCAGTGGGGGCCCTATGCAGCTACAGGGGCCCTCTACCTAGGCCAACTTCTCAGATTGGCATTGAGTGACATGTGGAAAGTAAAAGAAGTTAAGAGTTCCTGCTGTGCAACCCTGCATTTTATAATGTGTAGATATGTTCCTGTTGTAAAGAGACACAAAAAGACAGTACTGCTAGATGCCCAGCTCTTGGCAATAGTTCCAGAAATCTCAGAGGTTTCAAGTGGGACACACTGGGAGTAGGTAGGCTTTGTCCTAATGCAAGAATTATCTTTGTAACACATGAAGAAAGCATAAATGCCACAAAGTTAGAGAGGGGAATCTTTGATGTCCGGTTAGACACTTTCTATGCCATCTCTAATTTGAAAAGAAAGTTTATTGAAGGTTTTTACATCTCATTATTTTTCTGCTTAGCAACCTAACTGAAGCAATTAGAACACAGTGAAATATCAGTAATTTGAAACTAGCAAAACCAGTCCTTTCTGCTTGAAATCTAGAGTGGTCACACTAACAAAGCTAATGTTGTTTCAAAAGATTCGACCAGAATGAGATATTCTATATTTAAAATGAGAAATAATGTCCGTGGCTAGCACGTTTCCTCACACACACACACACACACACAGATGTCAAGTGGCATAAAGCTGGCATGATGCAGTACAGAACCAGGTCCTCGAAGTGTGACCATGGCTACCAGTGTTGCCAACTCTGCCAACATTTGGCACCTGTCATAGAATCCCAGTTCCTGGTATCAAGAGATGGCATGAGAATTTTGGCTTTTTAAGTATGTTTTCTAGCCCTTGTTGTGGAGAAAAGCCTGGAGGCAAGAAGGAGTTGGTAGTAGTGGTTTCAGGGCAAGAAGCTGAAGCCTGGCATATATTTCATCACAGCTGGAGGTAGCTGGGCCCCAGCTCCCTGTGAAGGAAAGAGAGAGATGCTGGCAAGCAGTAGCTAGGGAGCTGCAAGAGGAGAGGAGGAAATATATGCAAAAGCTCAGGTGGATCTGAAATTGTGACTTACCCCTGAAATTCTGACTCTCCTAGATGAATAAATACATTTTACTCTTTTAACTCCAATTGCAAACGGTTTTTGGTTTGAATAAGTTTGCCACTAAAGCCATTGCATTCATGGGGGCTTCTGTATCTCTGCAGGTTGCTGGATAAAACAGCCTCCTTCAGATAATCAAAATGGGAAAGGCAAATGGAGAAGGAAGCAGACACCCAAGAACTCTGCTTTTGTGTTATCTGAGCACTTGGGACCAATTCTCTTCTCAATTATACTAGTGTCCCAGTGACTTCAATGTGGGTTATACGAGTATACCAGAGAGCAGAAATTGCCCCTTGGCTTTTTGTCTGTAGAAGATAAATCCACATATTTACAAAGGACTCATGGGTCCTCCCTTCCTCCAAACATCAAGTCTGATTCTGCAAAACGCAATCATTTGAGTAGTCCCTCTGATTTCAGTTGGGACTGTTCCAGTTGAATTCCCTGGGATTCCAATGGGACTATGCTTGTCAATGGGGGTTTTCAAGATCTAACCCATAAACCCCTTCCCCAGTGGAGAGAAACAATGAGCTGGAGCCCCAATTTTTTCTGCAGCTTTTCCTGGACCTAATAACACCACAATATGTCTTTAAAAAGCTTGAGAAACATGTGGTGCAAGGGATGGATGATCAAGGCCATGCAGGGTGGCTCCAATGAATACAGAAAAGCCAGATTCTGAAGTGTGTGATGTACTGAAATGATTAGAGAGAATTCAATAATGACTTCAGAGTCAAGCACAATTACCCGCTTTGAAAGGCTTTGCTTTAAAGGAATAAGTGGAAACAAAATTACACCCTAAGTATTCCAAGCGGTCTGAAGTAAATATTTCAAAGAAAGTAAGGTTTTCCAATTACATACTCTATCTTGGTCTAAATTTTCATCTTGGTTTCCTTATCTTTCATACGGCTAATTGCTTAAGCAAAGAAGGGGAGCCTAAATAGCAGGGTTGCAAACATTTTCAGAGTGCGGACCACATTTCAAAAGATGGATGGTCTTGTGGACTCCCGCTTTCCTTCCTTTCAACAATTGTGTTGACTACCTCACATCCAATTGGTTAATATAAAGACTATCTCCCCTCTTGCTAACTAATTGTATAACATTGCAGTGGCAACTACAGCAGTTCCTTACACTGAAAGCTAACACTAGGAAAGCGTTTACATATTTTTTGCTGTCCTCAGTATAATAAGGAGTTCTGTCTACAGAAAATTCTGATGAAAACAAAAACAAAATTAATTTTCGTCTAAATTTTCCATGGAAAATTATAATTTTCAGCAAATATTTGAAAACTGAATACTTCAGCTGAAAACCAAAATATTTCAATATAAACATGCTGTATGGTACTTTATGGGAATTGTAGTTCAGGTGCCTCATGCTCCCATTCTCTTCTATAGGCTGGATTCCCTGGGCAGACTACAATGCCCATGATTCACCCCGATGTGCCCCTCTGGGGAGTGGATGCACAGTGCATCACAGGATCTGTAGTTCAACTGGAGAATCTGGCCCATACAGAACAATGGAGACATGTAGCAACTGAACTACAATTGCCATAAAGCATAACAGCAGCATCTCTAAATTTTGGTTTTCAGATAGACTCTTTCCATTTGTAGGTGTTTGGTTTTTTACAAAAAAAATTCTGCAGAAAGCAGACACTTTTCATGAAAAAATTCCATCAAATTTTCCATCAAAAAATAGTTTAGACAGAACATTTTCAACCAGCCTGACTGTCTAGGTTGACAGGCTGTCTCACCCTTCCACTTGTTCTGTTTCTCTAGCTGCAAACCAGGAGAAGAGCCAGCATCATGTACGCAGTTAGCGCCTCCCAGACCACCAGGCATCTGCCAACAACAGTTTAGGAGCTTCTGGCCTACGTGATGCAATTCATGCAGAAACCCTAAACCAATTACATTTTAATATTATATTAAGGACAAGAAAGAGACTTTGGGTCTCGCTCTAAGGACTAGTGTGTAGCTGTACTGCCCCAGGAGCAGCCAAGGAAGGAATTGTGAATCAGACTCTGTTCCTTCCTTGGTTCCCATTTGTTCCAGAAGGGCAGTAATCTGTTGCTGGTTTAGGTGTGCTGGCTGGCATGTGGGCAGGTGGACGTCAGAGCCAAAGCTCCACCCATGCCCCACTCTGCCTGCTCACCTGATCTGGTGAAGGATTAATAGACACAGTACCCTGTGTGTCACCCTCAGAGGTTTAGTAGGGAAGGATTCTTACTCCACCCTTACTTACTTGAGTGTTGTCTAAAAAGAGAAAACTGACTAGATAAGGAAATGCTCAGAATGTTTATTTGGTGCAGTGAGTAAAATTCATATTGTCTGATCATGCAGCCATGGCTAGCGTGCATACCTCAAGGGGCAGTCGCTGCCTAACGTGTGAGTATGACCTGATCTGACAAGGTACCCTAAAACTCACATAACTTCAGCACAACTTGGGGCCACTCTTCACCTTACAGAAGGCACTCTGCAGCTCCCGGCCCACAGTTACTGTTTCAAAACTTGCTCTGATCATCCCAGGGGAAATAACCTAGAACTGCAGAGCATAAGTACCTCTTAGTGCCCGTCTAGTCACAATGCGGTGAGTGGCTTTTGCGCCAAGAGGCTGATAATAATACATTTACCTCAAAGCAGCAGGTTCAGCACCAGCCAAGAACAGAACAGAGGGCGACTGTTTCTAAGATGTTAGCAACAGATTAATGCAAGATGTGAAAGGTCATCAGCCACTTCCTTTTTCAGGATATCTTTGCTACTTTATACTCCGAATGACTCAGAACAATCCATGGCTTTGTACAGAGCACTGTAACTCAGGCAATTAGCAAAGTAATGGCTTGTGTGGTTCATTAGAGCAGAACGTCAATTTAAACACCTGGCAGGATGCTTTGGAAAACCCATAACTTACAAATGCTACAAACCTGCAACCAGAACAGCAAAACAATAGCATTTACACTGTCAGGTTACTCCTAGGAGCTAGCGAGCAGAACAGTACAGTAGTATCTGAATTGTCAATTCATTTCTGTGCACATTATAGGATCATAAATAAAACATGCAAAATAATATCTGTAGGGTCTAGCTTCATCCCACAAAAGTGAAGAAATACCACGTCACTTGCTGACAGTCTGTCTCTTAGGCATGAGTTTGGGAACACAAAGGCTACAATGTGCATAAAGCATTTATTTTAATTTTTAATTCCATGACTTTTTTTCAAGTTAGATATTAGACTACTTTTAATGTAGTTATTATAACACGAAGAGCAAGAGCTATTATAATAAAGATTAAAAACACCTAGCATGAAATCCTGGCCCCTGAAACCAATGGCAAAACTCCCATTGATTTCAATGGGGCAGGTTTTCACCCCATAGAGCGTTGGAAGGTATATAAACCTTCATGCTTCAGGGCAAAGCCATCTTCTAAATATAGGACATTAGGAAGAAACTTTAACTTAGATGGGTTTTTTTCCATAATTGCCTAAAGCAGAATTTCCTGCACCTTCCTCTGAAGCAGCTGGTTCTGTCCACTGTCGGAGACAGGATATGGGGCTAGCTGGACCATGGGGCTGATCCACTATGGCAATTTCTGCTTTCCTATAAAATGTCAGAAGTAGTTGTGATTTATTTTTATTTCTTATTTAAAAATCTGAATGGCATGAAATATATTTAA